CCAGGAGGGGTTATTCGTGCAAGGGTTTGCGAGGGAGAGGCCCTTTTCTAAGCTTATACTTGACGGCGTTTCCTGGCACTTTAGTGTTTGCCTTCCATGTGTGTCTGGCAGATAAGATACTCGGCTGAAACAAGGGACCCTGGAAGTTAATGGGAGTGTTGTTGACTCGCATTGTGCCTGCCGTATCTAAAGGTTGAGCATGAAGTTTGCCCAAAGCAGGAACCATGCGTTGGACATAATTGCCTCTGGTCACTTTCATTGGCGCAGTTCCTCTTTTGTTTAAAAAAGAAGTTGTCATCAGGGTGAATTTGTGTGTGTATGTGCGCATTATAGAGGCAAAACTGTAACAAAATGAATGGAGCTGGCTAGTTAGAGCCTGTGTAAAGGTTGAAGGCTTCTTAAAGGTGTTATACTGTAGCCTGGTTTGATATGTGACAGATGTAACACGCCTGTGACACCTTGTGGAGCTGCCTTGTGACTGCTTTGAGAAATGTCTTAGTAATGATGGCTTTCAATAAACAGCCTGCCTAAGCAAAAAACCTAACCACTTTTAAAATAACCCCGAATCAAACAGGTTGGTGAAATACTCTCCTCTCCCCTTGCAAACAATCTGTATATCAAGCTTTAAATAAACTGAGCTTCCAAAAAAGGGGACTGCGCAGATACGGTTTAAACAGCTGAATATAAAGTGTTGATCTGAACATATTTACTAAATACGTTATACCAAGGCAGGTTCACCCTACCCCCATGTAAAGGCTTGCCAAGCATAAACATCTAAAACCTCCTTCCTTAATTGGTTGTGGGTGACATGATCCGACTCGTCTTAAATAAACTTCGAGTCCAGATAGCTGAATCAAATTCAAAATGGTTTGGCGCGCTGGGAGATATTCCAACCTCAACACACCCTTCTTGTAGGTAACCGACTTGGGAAAGCAGTGACCAACTGTGAGGCCACTCCTTAGAGTAAACTTCATTCACATGTTAGTTAGCATTGTAGAGTGCCTAGAATGTTGCCTTATCAGGAGTGGTGGGTATGCTGTGGAGGACGTTCCACTGCTGTGTAAAAATCTAACTGGTATTAGTGTATTGTAAGTGCTGATCATGTAAAGCAGTGTAATTCAAGCCTTAATTGGCCAAAGCATGCTGTTAATTCAGTGTTTGCTCATCACTTTACAATAGCAAATTTTGCCCTGGTCTCACTGGACTTAAGCTCAAATAAATCTTGCTCTAAGGCGCAGTGGAATGCTTTGAAATCAGACAGTTCTGAAATAATGTTTCGTTTGATTCAGCTTACAAGCAAAAACTAACACTCTTCTGAAACTAACCACATTATTAATACAGAATGCACAGAGGTGGTGCAGTGAGTACTTTTTTAGAATCATAATGAAGATACTATTTGTGGCTTTCAGTTTATAGCTGATTGTATAATTCGCCTTTCTTGCACAAAAGGCTTTGTTACTACAGAGTGTTAGAGATAGTCTAGGTTATTTTGTACGTAAAAGTACTTGCTAACATTCACAGAGCAGAATATGGTTTCATAGCATGGAGGATGGCCAAAGAGAAATAAGCAATGCAGTTGCTCAGGGGAAAATTTGCATATGTGAAGTTTAAAGTTAACTGTTACTTCAATGTCATGGCTAAATTTGTCCCTTTACTGCATTCTGCTAGTAAAGCAAGGTAGAACAAATTCTGGTGATCACATGGGGGCCTGAGTATCTTTTCTAACGCTGCAAAATACGTGCTTTAAAACATACATTTTTAATACCAAGATTGTCCATCAACATTTGAAGTGGGAAAGCATCTTTTAGATTTTTAGGAGGTGTTTTTGCAATATAGACCACGATCCTCTAACTGCCACTTGGTAGCTCTCAGGCTTGTAGATGTAAAGAGATAGGTATGTCCTACTCCGACGACAGCCAGAATTTCAGAACACTTGGAGAAGGTACGTGTGGCAAATACCCTGCTGATGAACCTGAAAAGTAAGTCTCCAGTTCTGTTGACTGGCTTACTCATCGTGTGTAATAGCAGAGTTTGAATTATGGCAGTTGCATGGAAAACTTGAGACACCAAAAGCCAATAGGAGCTGGAGTTCAACAACAGAGGCGTGCATTCTTGGGAAGTGACATCCTATTTGTAGCAACTGAAACTCCACTTTACTGAACTAACAAAACAGAAAGGAATGTGTGACTGCATTTGAATAGAGCTGTAGGAATACTGTTGTGGAATATATACTCAGCTTTGCACAAGAAGAATGGTTAATATATATAGCCTGCAAGATTTTATTTCAGTGGGGGTTACCTGCACTTTGTAGCACTGTCTTTTGGAGGCAGAAACAAGGAAAGTGGACTTGTGGACACAACTAGCATGAATTCAAGGCACTCTCAGCATTTCATGCCTGTCTCCAGTCCTCCCTCCCCTTATCTCCCCACCCCTTTTTTTTTCCCTCTCTCCAAAATCCTCCTCTTCTATGGAAGGTCACAAAGAGCTGTTGAGATTGATGTTCCATTTGTCCTGTGTTGCCCTACAATGGAACATTGTTTAAGACTTCAGCCTTAGACAGTTAAAAATGTGAAATGTGGATTTAATTGCTGTGCAACAGGACAGATAATGGCTGGCACAGTTCTCAAAATAATTTACGTGCTACCAAACAAGTGCAGTTTATATTCTTCCCTTCAAAAAGGCCATTGATTCACTCACACAATTTCTTGTCTCAAAATACCTTAAAACCTAGATCAAAGGAGTAATTAATTGTCCTTTAGATGTGACGAAACTAAGTGATAATGATTTATGAATGCAGAGTTTAAAACAAACACACACCACTCTCCCCACCCACCCACCAGAAAGGCAAAACAACCCCAACACAGCCTGTTTCAGACTCAATGCTATAAGGAATCACTTTCTACTAGTGTGGTACATTTACTAAACCAACTATTTTGTATGGAATATGATCATAGCACTCAAATGTCAAATGGATAAGGGATGAAAGAGAATGGTGTTTAGGTAGCTTAATTGATATCACTTTATATGTTTTTCTGTGTACAGATATGTATAATATATACATATATATAGAGATATATTATGATAAATAGCCTGTTTATTAGGAAAACTAGTTATAACTTAACGATAACTTTAATATTTCTATTAAAATTTAAGATTGAGGAAGAGGAATTCACCTCTTGGTTTAGAAGGTATTAATAGCAATGTTTATTTTTATGGCTAAAAATCTAATTTAAAA